CAATGCAATTTCGTGATATGTCCACAAAAAACTAATTGATGAATCGAACTAAGAAATGAAAAATAAATGATAGTTTTAAAAAACACGCTTTTGCAGCTAACCGGACAAAAAATTAGAAAATAATTTTTAATTACAAAGATTTTTTATGCGTGTTTTTTTTTTAGCTTCTTTAGGGCCAGTTTGACCAACAACAGTCCGTTATTCTCCACCTACAGGGTAACAGACCGTCAGATACAGCGAATGAGCTTCAAGTTCCAATCAACAAATTTTAGCAACCAATAGCTACGAAATGTTGAAAACAAAATACTGTCAAAGTATGAGATGACAGCTTGTCATTAAAACATCCCCAGCTTATTGAATATTAAGAAATTACATATAATTCAGTCAAAATTTAAAGAAATGTTGGATTTTTTAATAAAATTAATGTTTTAATTACTATTGTTGATTTTTTATTCATGTTTATATTATTTTCTTCAATTGATATGTGATACTGGGTGTTTTGTCCTATAAACCTCTTGCAGATAGCCATTAGGCACCTACTTGATGACAGGCTCTACCAAAAGATATTGCTCGTTTCCAAACATTCATTCATTTACTTGCCGTTCATCAGAACCATTATGGCACCTTAGATCGATATTCCCACAAAACCATTCAGGTTTTTTGATATCCATACATCCATAAAGTTGAATATTTTTCGTTGTTCAGGAACTGAACAGACATCCACACTATATTCACAGCGATTCAGAAATTCCCAAATATATGCCTTAAAGCTACCAGCAAATCTGAAACCTGCAAAAAAAACTACAAATTTGCTATATTTTTCTTTTTTCACGAGTACATATTCTAGGTTATATTTATATTAGACATTATTTGAATACAGCTGATTATTGCATTTCAAGGAGTGACACATGTGTGAGATCTGTCAACTGTTGGTACCAGTCACAAAACATATACTCTGAAGGTTTAATTCCATGACAACACAGTGTGTTGTCAGCGGCCATTTTGTGAGGGTGCGACAGGGTTGCCAGATTGTGCATTAATATCCCGTTTCACCCTCCTGGTGCCAGTCGAGTAAGTTCCGCCAACTGTTGAAATATACTCTACTATGCTTTATAAGACTATTCGTGACATTTTTCCCAAAATCATTGCACAACACTTGGAAAAATGCAAATGAAAATTTAAAATTATTTCCATGACGCCGCAAAATAGCTCCGTCGGTACCTTGGGTTATACATCTTGACAGTAGGGATGTTCGATACGATCCTATATTTAGAAGTATCAATACATTTCCCGAGTATCGTCATCTTTCGATCCGGACTGTGTCAGAAAGAGTTACTGCCATTTGGCTGCGACATTACCCTGCCAAATCAGACACATCTTTCATCATTTTCAAATAAATTGTACAAAATCTTCAAATTTGTGAAGTTAGCGAGTTTCACTTCATACGTTGTTACCAGACATGCCCAAATCATCAGTTGCTGCCGTGTTATTCATCCCGACCACTGCATCCTCACGGCTAGGCGACCTGTATGTTAAATTTGTATTGATAGGGCAGCGGGTTATGCTATAAATCATATGTCACAGTGTTTGTGCACTGATTGCAACGGTTAGATGATACCAAAAATATTTTCATAAATAGGAGATCTTTCCCATTCCGGATCGAACAATCTACCAGAGATGCTTATAATCATGGTACCTAGTAAATTTTCACGAAGAAAATCAAAACCAGCAAATGTAAAAGATTCATTTCGCACCCTCCACCAAGGGACGTGATCGTCGTTAGACTTGGCAACCCTGCGAGTGACAGATAGATATCCCCGCCAGTCAAAAAAGAAAAATAGACAAACAATAAACATTACTAGTTTTTTTGATTTTTGGACTTTGTTTGTGAAACAATTTTCATAATTTGTTGTCTATGACCATAGTAATTGCATTATGCATCAGGGAGATATAGGGATTGACACGTCTTACACATATTATTTGTGTTTTAGGATGGAGAGGACATAACGTTTTTATTGCTTTGAAGAAATTCATTAACCCATAAATTAATAAATTATGACGTAAAAGAAGATGAGGAATTGGATGGAATGTATTTTATATTCTATTTTCTTGCAAAATACGGACAAATCCACACTATTCAACAGGTATGTAATGATAGCTTTCAGTATATTGAAGTTGGTAAATTCGAGAGTGCCATGCATTAACAAACGTCCAAATCTGCTGCCAAATTTAACAGCTAGAAAATCGACCTATTATTTGCCGTATTAACGTTCGCTGAGGGGGATAACGGATTGTTAAATGTAAACCTATAACATATATCAAAATACATGAAAGTTATCCTGTTTTTTCTGTACAAAAGCATCATGTTGGAATCAAAAAGTGGTCTTGTTTATAATACAGTCGAATTTTCACGATTTTATTCAATATTTCAATAGAAATCACTAATATTCAGAGACCTTTGACAGCTTCTGTCAAACTGCATTTCGATAAAGTATTTTCCCATTGGTCCATAATATTAATGTTGGTGAAATCGGCCCTTAAACTATCATTTATTTATAAGCACGTTTGTTTGATCTCCCTTGGAACGAATCAAGAGGTTAGTAGGCGGTGAGGTTTGTTTAAACAATTTTCACTTCCCGCGTCTACTGCCGAGGAAGTAATGGAATCGCTAAAAATTTTAAAATGAAAAACCGTGTTACTCATTTTCGTCGGTCTTTCGCTGAGCCCTACCGTCCTTATAATGCGATGTTTGTGTCGCTGAGACCAGATCCGAGGCTAATTCAGTTCGGAAATGCCACACGAGAGACTGTCAAAAACTATGATAATCAAAAAACGACTGATATACAGGGTTTTAGGGAAATAATATTCGTAACCTTAAGAGGTGATTCCTTGCATTATTCTAAGCAAAAAAGTTAGTTATAACTTATGTCCGAAAATAAATCGTTTTCGAGGAAAGTGAGTCGTAAATAATTAAATTTTTTCAAACATTTGGCAACGCTGTAACGCAACCGCGATACGAGCGCTCGACGACCGAAACTGATTCATCGAGTTTTTTACGTTTGTATGATATTTTTGATGAAAATATGCCTTGAATTATTGAATACTTTCACCCAACTTTTTGTGACTAATATTTCTCATTCAATAATTACAGAACTTACCGGTACGTAGCGATACACACCACCAATTTCCACGATTATCAGTCGCCTATTTGAAACGATGCGATGCACGAAAAAACAACATCCGTAAATCACATATACAGTTATGTATCAGTAATCACAACAACACGCGATGATACATGCAGTACAGGTGGAATACGACGTTGCCAGTTGTGTGAGGGGTTTTGTTTGTGTGCGTTTCTTCGGAAAATTGTATTTAATAAGCAAGAAAATGATTTTGTTACAGACAGTTAACTAATAAATAGACGTATTGATACATTTTACGCTATTAAGCATATGAATTTAAATTATTAAGATGCTAAATTAATTTATTTCATTACTAAAAACAAATAAGTTCAGCATTCTTTTTCGCTCCGAAATGGTTGATTTTCGTACATAGGTTATAATGAACTTTTTTGCTTAGAATAATGCAAGGAATCACCTCTTGAAGTTACGAATATTATTTCCCTAACACCCTGTATAATCCCCAAAAATTCGTCTATGATTCTGGCTCAATTGGGTGTGTAGCTTCCCAACTAGATGTCAAATCAGTTCTAGGATTCACGGGTAGTGCCCGGCTAACTAGTTTTTTATCCCAAATCCGGTCTCCTTTAGAATTTTTTCACGATGATACTCATATTCAGCGCCCCAACTTACCATATTGGACAAAGATTCGTTTATGAGCAGCCATCGATAATAAAATGGGTTTTTAGCACCTTACAGTCGGAAAGAACGCAGGCTTTCGCAAATTTTTCGCTAAATGATTAGATCTACATGATAAATGGAATCAGATACATGTGAAATTAATTCGGATTCGATTTTAGCGAGTCAGCGTACGATAGACAGAGGTCATTTGAACCGCATTAGCAGCATTTAAATTTATAGTAATCATGCACTGGGGTAAAAAATTAATTTTTAGCACTATAAGGTCGCAAATGTCGCATAGGTATGTTGTAGATCTGCAGACGGAGAATAAAATCATAATAATAATAATGCCTTTATTAGCTGCAGTAAGGCGTAGTTTAGCCAGATGGCTAATCTTACACTCAACCCCACAACAGAAGAAAAAAAAAGATCCTTAAACACATAAACAAAATAATAACATAAAAAAGATACAGTTCATAAGCATAACAACATTGACTGCACGAGACAAATGCAGATAGTATTGTGAGAGTTCTAAATTTGAAACAAAAATAATAGAAATTAGTCAAAAAAGAAGAACACGAACACAACTAAATGGACTCCAGCAGCTGACTTTTCGTTAATTTCTTAAAAGAAGCAACCTGTTTGGATCGATAGCCACTGTTGACTGCATTTTAATGCTTGACAGCATTATAGGTGTAACCTCTTTCAAAGACCGTGGTATTGTGAGGAGGCATGTTAAAGTTAGCATTAAATTTAAGAGCTCTGGTAACAAAACTACCACGGGGAACTAATTTGCTAGCAAGGTAAGCTGGTCTGTTAGATAATAGAACTTTATGCGTGAAGACGGTCAACAGTTATAAAAATAACTTATCAATTCGCGACCAGTCGAGTTCTTTGATCTTATCTCAGACGCGCAATCCAAAAATAAACCTACAACAGCTGTTCTGAATTTTCCGGAGTTTCCTTTTGTGGACGTAGTCTAAACATGGGTAATAACGAACAAGAGAGTAAGAAATCACAGACAACACATAAAAGTGTCCATGTGCTAAAAGTTCTTCTTCGGGTGATTCGCGAGATACCATATCGGGCAGTCCGTATCATTTTACAGCATATTTAACTTAATCATAACGAGGCTATTTTACTCAACATGTGTATCAATAGATAATATCTGCATCTACAAACTCCACAATTAATTTTCAGATGCCGATATCCCAGTGACACCTCCAAGCGCTCGAGCCACCATATCGTCCAGATTTACGTCCGCCAGAGTTTCCTTCAGCAGGGACGACACGGCCGCTCTGGATATGCGCCGGAAATCGGCCATCAGCAAATTGTGCGGGGCCGGAAACTACGGCCCTGAGCGGGGAGCTGACGGCACCTTGCTTCTCAGGTTGGTATTTAGTTGGATCAAACGTTTGCCATAATATCTCAAGTTCTTTTATTTGGATCATCGGATGAGACTATCAAAATTACTTTATTTTGGATTTTCTCACTAATTAATAGCCTGGTTCAAGAGCTATCCAACTGGGCACGTCCAAGGAACTAGCTAAAGGTGTCCCTCAGGGATCCATTTTACGCTCGATTTGATTCGCGTTGTATGCCTCAGATCTAGTAGTATTTTTCTATTCGAAAAATCAACACGCTTTTTACGAGGTGAAATCGAATTTTTTATCGATAAATGAAGGTTGGTTTATGCCATTTATGTATGAAAAATAACATCAGTCATGTGACCACCGCGGCTTCGTTTGCAGGCCAACATCCGACCATCAAAATTTTCAATGGCTTTTCCCAGAATAATCGGGTCTATGGCCGCAATTTCAGTCCGAATATTGCGCTTTAGGTCTTGAATTGTCCGGGGACCATTCGCATACACTTTTCCTTTCAAAAATCTCCAAAGTAGATAGTCAAGAGGTGTTAAATCGCACGATCTCGGGGGCCAACTGACATCTGAATTTCGTGAAATTATGCGGTCTTGAAATTTCGTGTGCGATAAAGCGATTGTTTGGCGAGATGTGTCAGCCGTTGCTCCGTCTTGATGAAACCAAAGATCGTCGGTACCAATACGATCCAATTGTGGCCACAAAAAGTCTGTTAACATGCCGCGATAACGTTCCCCGTTGACGGCAATGGCCTTTTCTTCGGCATCTTCAAAGAAGAATGGTCCAACGATGCCACCAGCCATAATCCGCACCAAACAGTCACTTTTTCAGAATGGAGAGGTTGTTCATGATATTGGTGTGGATTTTTAGCCCCCCAAAATCTGCAATTTTGCTTATTTCGACCGTCTTCGTAATAAGTCTGGATAACCAAAATACGTTGTTGTGTTGTAAACGAATCCAAGACTATAAATGGCATACCTTTGACAGTTTATTTATGCATACCACATGACCTTTGACTCACATGGTAACACATAAACTTATAGGAAAAGAAAGTAATAGATGGCGCACCCAGTATAATATACTAAGTGACATATAAATCCGAACACCCAGTTTAAATGGTTTTATTTTAATAAAAGTTGGTGAATGTATTCATCTTACTGTAAATAACAAGAGAAAAAATTTTCAGCCTTATCAGTTGGACAGCTTTTTTTTAATTCACCAACGCTCTAAAAATGAATATTTCAGCCGCAGTAAAGAATCAACGTTGGCGGATTTTGGTTCTTGACATCCTTTACGATCGGTTACGATGCCTAGAGTACGGAGACCTGTACGATTTCGTCAACTTAGTGAGTTTGATAGGGGCCGTATAGTGGTACTTCGGGAAGCTGGACTTTCTTTTCGGGCAATTGCAGTTAGAGTGCAAAGAAGTGTAGACACTGTGGTTAGGTGTTGTCAGGCATGGCTTCGAGAAGGCCGTACGCAAAGAGCAAGGGGCACTGGACGCCGCCGTAGAACAACAGACCGTGAAGATCGCCGCCTAAGATTATTGGCCTTAAGGGACCGTTTCTCTACTACCAGGTCCATTGCAAATGAATGGTTTGCAGAACACGGAAGACCTATTGGCGTGCGAAGTTTTTACCGACGAATGAGAAGTTTTGGCTTGTTTTCATACCGGCCACACTGGGTCCTCCCTTTAACTCGAGAACACCGACGTAATCGCCTTGAGTGGTGCAGACAACGGTCACTCTGGGATCAGGAATGGAACAGTATTGTCTTTAGTGACGAGTCTCGACTTTGTTTAGGCATGCACGATGGTCGTGCCAGGGTTATAAGGCGACGTGGTGAAAGGAGGAATCCACAGTTTTTTGTTGAAAGACATGTTCATCACACTGTTGGAGTTATGGTTTGGGGTGCTATAGCTTATGGTTCCAGGTCACCTTTAATCTTCATCAGAGGTAACATGAACGCGCAGCGTTATATCCACGAAGTTCTAGAACCCCATCTTTCACCCTATCTTGACACCCTGGCAGATCCAACTTTCCAACAAGATAATGCGCGACCACATGTTGCAAGAGTCACAATAGACTTCTTTCAACATAATTATGTCACATTGTTAGCATGGCCACCGATCTCCCGACTTATCCCCAATTGAGCACGTGTCGGATATGATGGGTAGGAGATTGCTCAATTTGCAACGTCCTCCTCAGACTCTAGAAGCACTTCGAGAGGAGTTGGTGGTTGCCTGGAATGAGATACCACAGGAGGACATTGACCACCTGATCAGAAGCATGCCTAGGCGCGTTGGAGAATGCGTAGCACATCAGGGTGCATCCACACATTATTAAAGGTCAAAGGGCTTTAAAGCAGTGCAATCATTTTGAAATTTTTATCATTTACTTATTATGCTTCATTAAGTACTCATACAAGATTTTATTAAAATAAAACCATTTAAACTGGGTGTTCGGATTTATATGTCACTTAGTATAGATGGTTTCATATTATTTTGATAGAGCTTATTTTATTTAAATTTTTATCGAACCTTTGCCGCATAAAAAATATGTTCCTTCAAGAAAATTGTACTGTCTTACTGTGTAGCCCTGATTGGTGGTAAGAGCAGCTGATACTTGACTGGTAAAATAGGCTTATTATTATAATTATTACTAATATGATTATTATGTACATCGCGAAATACCATGAAACTCATTTTCATCGGTGTCGGCAAATTCTTGGTCCTGTTTTAACTCGGAAAGTACAGGTTAAATTTTGATAACGTTTTCGCACAAGGTTACTACCATGCTTAACACAAAAATGCTTTGTAATTTTTGAAAATTGGACCAGTCGTGGCGGAGTTAGGGCAAAAGCAAAAAAGACGGTCAAACCTCGTTGTTTGTAGTCTCAGGGACTCCTGACTATTTTCACAACGATGTCCCTGCCGCAACTGCATCGAGATTGTCGACGACGAGCGACGATGTAATGATACCAGAACGTACAATGTTGACTCAGACGGCGCATGTCTCAAGTCCATAAATTCATTTTTTTTTTGAATCAACGATGATGTTTTCATATCCGTCGATTAATAAAGGTACCAGAATGTGAAAAAGTTGGATGGTCCCGGGACACCGTCACAACCTCGTCAAACGATAAACGTGAAAACAACAAACCCGCCTTAGAACAACTCCAACTGTCAAGTGAACCTTTTACAGAGTGTCTCACATGCAGAAAATATTATGTATGATTAAATTTATTAAAATCATAGTGAAAGTAAATACATTAGAGTAACTCTTCTTCCATGATATTTCAACATTTTATTCGATCATTTTTCATGAGTAATATCTTTAAATCCTTCCCAATTTTTCGTCTGGAAAAAATACGCGATTTGAATGTCGTGAATCCTTGGTTAGTGCCACATTAGACCTATATTGTACCGACGAGCCCTAATAGGGCCAGAACAGGACAAACAGGGGTTAAGTGTATATTTCCTGCTTTTCAGATCCATAAACAATGGACATGCAGCATTATTCGCGTTTTCGGAGGACTTTTGGCGTTTTTTGGGACGATGGACGAGGGTGACGTATCTGGTACATTGAAAAACGACAGACCAACCTCATGCTCGCTTGTAGCTTTGAAGGGATGGGAATCATTTTGGGAGCGAGAATGTCTACCCCATGTGGGCCTAGGATTTGCTGGCTTTATGCGGTGTCATCTAACAATTGCAATCATGCAGTCTCAGAATATCATGGAAGACTATTGTAGTACCTAACACACTTCATAGCAATGTGATAAAGGAAAAAAGAAATGAATTGTCACCTGGAAGACAGAAAACAAAATATATTGTCGTATAATTGTCTACTGTACTTGAAAAAGGCGGTGGTCGAAGCAATAAAAAAAATATTAACTTATACAGTGGAATCCACTTATAATGGAAACCCGTATATAATGGACACAATTTAAGGTCCTATAAATAATTGCATGTAAAATTCTCGGATATTATAGACTCGCTTAAAATAGACCCTTATACCAGACTATTTTAATCCATTATATGCGAGCTATTTTGGTTGTTCCCCGAAGCAGATTTAGCTGATGCAATCGTTTACGGCGGTTTGGCGTTGTAGTTTGCATTCGAACGTAGCCACCAGTATTGTATTTATTAGAGTTATAAACATGTCGAAAAGTGCGAAACGTGCATTCACTTTACACGAAAAGTTCACAATAATTAGTGAGCTTGAGCAGGTTTCATCTCAAGCAAATATATGTGCTCGTATGGCTATAAAAAAATTCATTGTGCAAATATTTGGAAAAACCGTGAGAAAATTAAGAATGACTGAAATTCAAATAACCAAAAGAAAAAATACGGCTATCGCTGCATCCCCAAGTCGATGATATGCTGTTTAAATTTCAACAAAAGCGTGTTACTAATTTTCCAATAGGTGGACTTAAGCTACAAATAAAGGCTGAAGAATTTGGGAAATTGATTGGAGATTACTTTAAATGTAACTACATTGGTTGGCTAGACAGGTTTAAGAAAAGACATAACATTGTTTTTGAAAAAATGTGTGATGATAGAACGATACC